AGAGAAAAGGGCTTAATCAATAAAAATGTGACATTTATAAAAACACATACCCCTCAAATGCAGGACGTAAGCCTGAAAGAGGTAGACAAGACAACAGTAAAAACTGCCAAGCTAGTACTCTACTTTCAGAGCTGGACAGAACAGATAAACTCAAGATTAGCTTGAAAGTAGATTCAAAGCTAGACATGGTGGCTCACAACTGTGTCCCAGCACCTGGGAGAGAAGGACAGGAGGATCAGAAGTTTAAGGACAGCCTGGACTATATGAGAGTAAGTAGAAGATCTGGACAATTCAAACCAACTATACCTAGCAGGTGCCGCTCAGACACTTTCTCCAACAGCACCCAGGATTGTATATGGATCGTGCTCCAAGACAGGCCATATGTTAGACCACAGGTCTGTATAGATTGAAGAGATGGAATCAGATAAAGAATAGTCTCTGATGACAAGAGAATGACTCTCTCTCTCTCTCTCTCTCACACACACACACACACACACACACACAAACACACACGCCCACAGAGACAGACACCCTGCCAAACATGGGATGCAGCAAAAACAACGGTAAGAGAGAAATTTACAGCAGCAGACAATTGTACATTAGGCTTCATTCGCTCTTCCTTCATTAGGATCATCCCTTACTCTCTTTAAAAAAATCATGTAAAAGCATTTGTGTTGTGATTTATCCGGTTACCTGATACTGTTTTCTTTTAGATCTGGTCCAAAGATACTGAAAGAAGCTGTCCCTCGTGAGTGGATCTGCACCGTTCTCTTCACCTGCCTCATGGCCCCCAAGCTCCCTCTCGGGGCTGGAAATGCCGTCCTTTGCCAGCCCGTTGCTCAGGTCTCAGCGTTTTCCATGCTGGGTGGTAGCAGTTGTGCTGTGTCTGTGCCCTCCTGCAGGCCTGGAGCAAGTCAGCAGCAGATGTCTAACTCATGTTGCATTCTCAGGCACCGAAGGCTCCAGGAGTGTCTGGAAAGAGTGTGTAATTCCTGGAGCTTTGAGTGAGGAAACCCCATTTTTACAGACCCAAAAGATTCCTTTTTTCCTATTACCTGCCCACTCCACATCTCCTTGGCTTTTCTTCTGTTAGTCTACAATGTTCACAGGCGGTTCCTCCTACCTACCACCGCAGACAACTCTGTCCGTGGGAGCCTGCTCTATCATTGTCTTCAAGAATCCCAGCTCTCCTCTCCTCTTTCAGAAAGCTGTACACCACTTAGATGTCTCAGCCAGATTTTTGTGCGTCTGTGTGTGCTGGTGTGAGTACAGGAGGAGCATGGAGACTGGAGAACTTGAGGGGTTCTCCCCTTCCTCCTTGTTAGGCAGGGTCTCTTTGTACTTTGCTGCTGTATATGCCAGGCTAGCTGAATCATGAATTTTTGGGGAATCTCCTGTCTCTTTCTCTCATCTCTGTCTACCTATCTCTGTCTCACAGAAGTTTTGCAATTACAAACCTGTGCTACTCTGTCTAGTTTTATATGGGTTTTGGGGATTTGAACTTGGATCCCCATGATTACATAGTAAGCACTTTACTCACTGAGCCATATCCTCACCCAAGACCTGTTTTTGAGTTTATGAAAGGTACCCACTTTATCCTTAACTCACTAGGATGACCCCCAATCTGATATGCCACCTGCAGGCTCATCTGGGTCCTGCCTCGTGTCCCTGAGCGTTTCAGAAAATGCTCTGTGGGCGGACAGCACCAGCTTCTCTCTCCAGTTAGTGTTGCTGACTGCCTCAGCCTCTGCACTGGCCTGCATTTGTCCCAGTGGTAGGATAGAGCCGTCTCCTTGTGGAAGCATCCCATGGGAGCATGGGATGCCTAGGAGCTCTGACGTGGGCAGCTGAGCGCCTCTACCTCCGCATCCTGACATCTCAGACTCAGCAGAGCCTTCCTAACGATATGCTCCCTTGCAAGAAGAGCTTGGGCTTTATCAGATTCCCCCAGCGCGGGCTCATGATGCATTAGCTCTCTGACTTCAGGTCTTATCTTTCTCAAAGGGAAACTCATTTAGTAAAAACCTACAGTGTATTAGGTACTAGGGTGGAGAACCCAAACACCTACAGTTCTTTCCTTAAGGAGGTCGTTAAGTACTGGAAGAAACACAAAAAAAATGATCAGGGGTTAGGTGGGGTCTTTAAAGATGAACACACATCTACTGATAGAGGGGCAGTGGTGAGGTGGAGGAGAAAAAGAGAAAAAAGAAACCATGCAGGAGCTGCACACAAGGCTTACTGTGTGGAGGTGGGCTGCTCTGTTGCCAGGCCAAGCAGGGAAAGGGAAGGGAAGAGGCCAGGTGAGCTATGCGGAATTGTTCTGCAGGCAACTGCATGATGTTGAGCAAGGGAGACAGAACTTGTTAGAAAAGATACTGGCCTGCTGTAGGTCCTGGTCAGATTTCCCACGGAGACTGGACTGCTCAGCAAAGAAGTAGCACTCTGGGACACACTTGAGAAGGAGGGTTGACAGAAGCAGGCGGAGCAACGAGCTCAGCTATGGTGCAGAGGCCTTAACGTTGTTTCCACACTCCCATCTGGGAAAGGCCCTCACAGGGGGCAAACACCTAGCAACTAGGTAACGGAGCTCTGCTACATAACCCCGAGCATGTGTGCGATGGTCCAGGATCTTTTAGGGCCTGGACACTGCCAGCTGGGGCCCAACAGTGCTGACAACATAAGGTCTTGAGCTTCCCTCCCCCATGATATTATGGATTTCTTAGCTTTACACCCTTAAGTCTTGCTTCCAGATCCCATTCCATTGTGGGTCACCCACACCATGCCGAGCTCTTTGAAGCTTGTCTCCTCATCATCTAGAGGATCCTATTTCAGTGTCTTGTGCCCAGAGCAGCTGAGAGTGGGAAGGGACCTATTTACTTCACACAAGGTCAACTAGCATTCAGGCATGCTGCAGATCCCCTCACTTTAAGAAGTTCTTTCAGATGCATCAAACCATTTTTCCTTGATTTCCCCTTGGAAACACCTCCTCCAATTTTCTTAAAGGTACAGGTTTCCAGGCCCACTCTACCCATAATTAAGGGAAATTAAAATTATTCTTTCCCTGAAATGCGGCAACTGCTCAGCCCTAGATCTTTCATTTCCCAAATGAATGAATGAAGGTTGGGTAAAGGGCACTATCTGCTACACTTACGGATAATGATAGATTTAAATAGTATTTTATTCCAATATTACAGAACATGAAGGGGCTGAGGTATTAATTTATGTTCTTGTTGATTTTAACTGTCAACTTGACACGGCCTAGAGGCATCCAAGAGGAAGCTTCCACAGAGGAGGAACTGCCTAGATCAGACGGGCCGGTGGGCAGGTCTATGGGAGATTGCTGTAGAAGCTGATGTAGGAAGGCTATGACATAGGCCATCTTGAACTGTGTAAGAAACCAGCCGAGCATAAGCTGCCCTGGGAGGCAGCCCGCAGGAGGCGCCTCTCATGCTTCTTTACTCCTTTTGAGGTAATGCAAGTTCCTTGCTTGGAGATAATGCTGTGAAACAGCAAGTAGGACGGCTTCAATTTCTCCCATGTTGGACTGTGATTAGGATTGTAAGCCCAGCATACCATTTCCTCCCCTAAGTTGCTTTTGGTCAGTTTTTATTATAGCAGCAGAATGAACTGCAACAATTCCCTTCAATTAACATCTCATACTTCTCCCAGTATCCCAGTATTTCTTTTCATTGATAGCTAGAAACACTAGGTTATGAGCATGACACTTGTTAGGATCTTCTGTGTGGTCAGGAGTGGCTCCTCTTGGCTCCTTGCTCATTTGCATGGCCATAGCTAACCATTCGGTGGCTTACTTGATGCTCTCTAGTCTTTCCAGATGGTGCAACCTATCCCTGGCAGGGAGGGACGAGAAGAGGCTGTTTTTGTTTGCTTGTTTGTTCTTTCGGAGCCTTGTCCACGTTGTTCAGTTTGGAGCCAGCCTTGACGGCAATTTCATTTTCGTTCTCAGCACCAAGCTAGTTGTTGTGGCACCAGCATACGTTTTTAGGACTCTGTAATAGGGCAGACAGCTCTCTTTTAAGCACACTCCAGGACTCCAAAGGGACACAAGTGTGAGGGCCCAAGTACAACATCTCTAAGAACCAATTTGGGGTCCCTGCAAGATAGGGAGGGGCTATGGGAGAAGCCTCCCAGCAGGCCCCAAACCTTATCTTCAGGGATATTTGTCTGCTCATCCAAAAGAGGCATCTGCTGTTGTCAGAAACTGCATCTGGCCTGAGGCAGAGAGCAGTGAGAAATTCTTGTCCATGTTGAGACTGTTGAGACCACATGCCTGCACATTCACAGAGCCATCACTGGAAAATATGCCAAGAGTGCCATCTAGGGCTGCAGAAGGGATAGCTCCAGTGATCTCTGTGGCTGGAAAGGGATGCAATCTCAAGAGCAGCTTTCCCAAGGCGGAGCAGTGCATTTGGTACAGGCTAGTCTGTCTGGACCTAGGGCTATGGTGGAGCCCTGGGCTCTCAGACTTTATCCTGAGGCCAGTCCAGCACCAGTGATGGCGATGGGGCTCTAGGTTTCTAAGGAGGCCGGCAGCAGAGCGGATGGACGCCGGGTGGAGGGGCACTACACTCTTTATCTGGCCCCAGCTCTGTCACAAGGTAACAGATGGCAGGGGGCCTGTGGCTGCTGGGGTCAGCACTATTCCAGGCCGGGAACACTGAGTGATCTTACAGTGCTCGGCTTCTCTGGTATAGGGAAACCAGCTCAGCACGGTGCTGTATAACTCAGGGTGGCTTTGTTGCCAGGTGCCATTTGCCTTTCCTCAGGCTTCCCAGTCCCCTCACGGCAGCAACAGCGGGAAGAGGACAGGAACAAGACACATCTTTGGGGCTGGCAGTCAGACACTTCTTGGGTTACCTGCTACCCCTGCTATCCTAACTTCTGTCCTTATAGCTCTGAGCACCTCAGGGCAGTCACTAGACAATGCAAACAGGAGCCCCCGAAGTTTTAAGGGAAATAACTTTTTGACCAGACCACAGTTTGATTGGATTAAAAAAGTGTATTGGACTTCCAATACTAAATAAAAACATGTAATTGTTTTTAAAAAGCCATAGAGTTTTACAGCATCAACTACAGAAAAGGCCAAACAAGTGTGTACAGAACCCAGTTCCAGCAGTCCTCCGGCCCCCGAGCAGGCAACAAGGCAACAAACACATTTGTTCCACACCCTCCCGAAGGAAGCTGCTGAGCTATAGCTCAACTAGGACACAACAAGACACACAATGGTTTAGTTTCCAGAACAACAGGAAAATATAAGACACATATTAAATTGTGAAATGGTGTAATACAGAATAGCTTTGCATTTTCTGAATTTAAAAAAATCCCCCAACTTTTAAGTTACTTTATTTAAAAATACATCCCTCCCCTATCCCATTGCAAATCTGTGGCAGTATCCAGGTACCAAGGCCCTGAGGTAACCGAAGTGTTGGGGTTTATGGGAAGGAACTCCCTAAATACTTAGCATGCTCTGAGCAAAGGCTAGACAGTTTCTGAGGAGTCTAGCCTCCAGGTGGCCGGAATGCTCTGGCTGCTTTTTGGAGGGCAGCCAAAGCACGCTGGTCGTCCCAGAGCCCTGCCTGGTACTGTCCTACGAACAGCTAGAAGAGCAGCAGGAGTTAGAGCATTGCATTTTTCACTGCCCCCGCCCCTCATCATACAAAGAGCCCATCTTGTTGAAAAGTAAAAAGGGTAAGACCCAAAAAGGGTAAAACAAACCTATGTTCAAGGGCAGATAGGCTGGCGTAGCCATTGGTACTGGCTGAAGAGCCGAAGCCTGATTTACTCTCTATACTGTCTCCCAGGGATTTGTTGGGGAAGAAGATGCCTGAGGGTTAGTCTTATACTTTTCATTATATATTAACATAAAAAGCCAAACAAATACACACCTCAGCGTCTCACCTCTAACACTCTGCAAAGGCAAAGGCTGCAGTGTGTGGCCGAGTCCTCAGCACACCTGGAATCTACTGCTACCTCATTCTAAGTGGGTTTGGCTAAGCTGCTGGTATGCTGCTGGTATAGGTGAAGCCAACTGCTTCCACTAACCTTCTTTCCACTATCTCTGTCCTCTGCTCCTTGTAGAATTCTGTTCAGAAACATGTGGGAAAGCCTCCTGGGCACCGTACCATCTTGCTTCATCCTAGTTGGTGCCTTTGAGGAAAGCCTCTGCAATGTGGAAATGAGAGCTGCCTGGCTGAGGCCTGGACCAGAGAAGCAGATATCCTGTTTGGAATAGGAAAACAAGCTCCTTCCTTAGCTTTTAACCTTCCAAAGAGAACCAGTGATAGTGGCACTAAGGGGGTCCCTGCCCTGTGCGTTCTAACTTCTCAGAGCAGCTGAGGCAGGCTCTGGTTCTACTTGGCATCACTCAAGCAATTAGAAACACATTGCTGGGAACCTCAGTGTGGACACTCCAAAAAGGACGTGACCAAGATACCGGAGCAGCTAAATCATCCAAACCACCATCATATGAGAACTCATAAGCTCATCCAAACAAAACTCCAGTTGCTATGCAGTGACACGAAGATGGACATGCCAGGTAAGGACACTGAAGATGCTGCTTCCATTCTCTGCAGGCTTCTGGAACAAAGTACAATGACAGAAACATTCACAGGGCCTCAGCAGCCCTCCATTTCCTATTCCCAATCCCCGACCCCACCCCAAATACTGAATCTGCACAGAAAGCAACAAACAAGTCTTTTCAATGTTACATTTCATTCAAATAGATCTGTAATCTCACAGTGATGAGAAGAGAAAGTCAGGCCTTTAATAATTATAATAAAAAAATAATAAAAAAGCTTACAAACAGCAATGCAACATTTCCCACCCCCCTCAAAGTGATGGATTAACAGCTGGTAGAGGATGCAATGTCTTAGAATTAAAAAATAAAAACAAAACCCAAAACAAGCCAACCCTGTCGACAGTGTCAAACAACCGCACTGTCAGTGACTTTCTAAGCCACCGGAACCAGCAGCCAGGTGTCAACTGCTTGTGGAGAACACCCCGGGCTTCCTTGGCTTCTGATAGTGTGTGTGTGTTAAAGTAAAATGAAATAGGACACACAATTGTACACAAACGCCAATGTCCACACTCCATAAATGTGATGCAGTTGCAGCGCAAAGACCCAGCCACTGGCCACAAAGTGAAAGGCAGGTTGCACTTCTTCTTGCCTCTTCCCTGGACACATAATTTTGGCCCATGGTGCCCAGTCCTGCAGGCTATCGGCAGGCAAAGGGAAGCTGCCTCAACACAAGTGTCACCCAGGCTGACCAGAAGGCAAGGTGGCTGTCCCTGGAGCCAGCTCCACACGGAGGCACTGGACGGCCTACTGGCTCCTGCTCTCAAGTGCTGTCCTCTCGGACTCTGTACAATTCCTTGTTTTCAAGGTTAAGTTCCAAGACTTCTAGACTCAGGCTTGGAGTCATGTCCAGGTGAAGGTCATCAAGCTGTTGTGATGGCATTTAAGTCCTTCATTAGTCCTTCCAGGTGGGCCATCTCTTTGGTCAGCTCATCTGGTTCATAACTCTACAGAAGGGAGAACACCATGGGAATGATGGAGAACTCTGGGAACGATCTGAAGAGCTGTCCAGGAAGGACAGCCCAGAGTACCAAGTGGCCTGGCCAAAGCTGCCCTGGGAAGCTGGTCTGAAACTAGGGTGGCTCCACAAAGCCAAAAGCAGCAGGATGTACTCAAGGCCATTAAGAAAGACAGCATTTCTTGACAATTCCCAATGCCTTTTGCCCAACGTACACACTCCTCAGCCCACGATAACCTTATAAGGCAGAGGTCCTGTTGCTTCCAGATCTTATCTAGATCTGTGTCAGAGCAATACAGTTTCTGTGCTCTGCAGCCTCTAAGTTTAAGCTTTCTCCTTAGAGAGCCCTGTATCTGGAAAGGCAGACTTGTTTATTAGGATTTGAAAACAATCTTAGGCACTTCCTCTTCCAGCATCCTCCTCAGAAAAGGCAGAGTGGAGCTCAGGAAGAAGGGATCAACCTGAAGGCACGGAAATGAGAGGGAGGATGTGTATGACTAACTATGACAGGATGATAAGGCACTTTAAAACTTACCAGAGTAGGTCTGAAATCAAACCAAACCCACAGCACATTCCCACAGTATGTGGAAATGCTTCAGGAGCATCTCCACCTGCTCAGTGAGCAAGTCACTCTGCTTTACACCTGTGGGTGGCAAAGACCTGAGTCCACACAAAAGTACAGCTAGCCAATAGCATGCAAGTGGACCCCTTGGGACATCCTGACTAAGCTGAGGGCCCCATGAACTTACACTCTCAGAGTCTTCCAGCATCCTGGTGGTCTCCTGTACTTCAGGGGCACTGGGAACAACCACTGGCATAGGAGGCCGGCTCCTTCCTAAAGTCCCGATGGAGGCTGTTTTCACTGAGTGGATGTGATGGTTCAGAGCTGAAGGGCAAAGGGAAGTTTTAGGTTGTGGCTAATGTTGTACCCTCTAGACCTCAGTAGTCTGCCAGCAGACTGAATGCTGTCTCAATGTGAGGGATGCATACATTCCCAGACAGGGATCCTGCTCTGAAAAGTTATTGGAGAAAGATGGAAGGAGGAAGGCAACAGAGCATCCAAGAGACACAGAAAACATCCCACTGTCTCTAGAAAACTTCACCCAGTGGTTTTCAAAGTATGGTGGCCCACAGACTCGTCACAGAACACCTGAAATCAAAGCTCATTTATTGTGACAATTAAGGTAGCATTTGACTTTTTGCTGTGTCTTACTTGTATTGAGGGTATACAGCAACATGGGAAAACTGTTAGAGCCTTAGCAAGAAAGGCAGAGCAATAAACTGTGAACTTATCCAGGGCATGCTCTCATATTTTAAAACGCCAGTTTATTACCCTTAACGAAGCAGTAAAAATTATGTTTTATTAAATCTTAGTTCTCAATTACATGCCTTTTAAATGGTGTGTGTAAGCAAATGCGAGTGTCCCTGCTGTAAACCACATATGGACAACTGTTCAAGAAGGGCACTATGACAGACTGAGAGCTGAGGTTCCAGCATATAACGAAACTTCAGAGACGACTGACAAATGGGTCACTCAGATATTTTCTAGAAATTGAAACAAGTGAGCTATGAACATAAGGAAAATATGATGGATACTGCCAATGTTAAAATCAAAGTTTTCCATGAAAATAACCATTTTGAAAACTTGTTTGTCATCTGACTGGAAAAGCTTCCTATATACAATGAATGTGTGAATATTTGGAGGATTTTATTAGTAAACCAAAAATTTTCCAAATGTCCAATGTATTTCCAATTACACATCCAAAGCACAAGCTAGATCAATGCAACCTCGTAGAAAGTGTGTGGAGTCCATGGATAGGTATAGATTCACATCAAAAAATCTTTTAAGAATCTACAACTTGTTGAGGTTTCCCATCGTGTCAGAAAAGAATACTTGACTGGGCTTGGTGACATATGGCTGAAATCTCAACTCTGAGACAGGAGTAAGAATTCTTGATCAATCTGAGCAATAGAGAAGTTCCCCCCCCGCTTTTTTTTGACTTTTTTAAAATTGTTTTTTATTAATTATAGTTTATTCACTTTGTATCCCAGCTGTAGCTCCCTCTCCCATCCCCTCCCAATCCTACCCTCCCTCCCTCTTCTTCTTCGAAGCCCCTCCCCCAGTCCAATGATAGGGGAGGTCCTCCTTTCCATTTGACCCTAGTCTATCAGGTCTCATCAGGACTGGCTTCTTTGTCTTCCTCTGTGGCCTGGTAAGGCTGCACCCCCCTTAGGGGGAGGTGATCAAAGAGTCAGCCCATGAGTTCATGTCAGAGACTGTCCCTGTTCCTATTATTGGGGAACCCTCTTAGACACTGAGCTCAGAAGTATCTTTTTTCCAAAAAGGAAGGTTCATAAAAGGCACACTCCCGTTTGCCAATTATGTGTCTGTGAGGGCAGATTTTTAACAACCAATACAATCTATTACAGTAGACTGAACGCAAGGGCAGATAGGAGAATGTAGCTGTTTTCTATCAAATCAGACACTTATAAGGAATAAGAGAAATGATAACAGTTCATCAAAAAAGTGTTATTTATCTTTTAAATGGATTAATTCTAGGAAATGTCTCATTTTTAATCCTTAATATATATTGACATACTCCATATGTAGAAACAAAATTGCTTTGGAATTCTTAGATTAGTCCCTCCATTCTTGGTCTTGGTAGTAGTCTTGATCCATGTGTCTTTGGACTAGCACTGATCTCTATGGTTTTTAAGGCATGAGGAGGCTTTGAGACTAAGGAACTTGAGAACCACAGCCTTATTCTGAAACAAAGCATACTAAGCAATGGCTGCTGCTGAGCAGTGAAGGAAAACCAACGAGATGCCCTATCTTGGGAGTCCCAGCCTCCCAGGCCCCTCTTTAGCCTGTAGTGTCTTTAGTGTGAGGCGATTCCAGGGGCCTAGACAGACCAGCTTTGTTGTCCAAACCTGTCACCAGATTTTAATGTAAGGATTCTACACAGAAAACACAGTCCACAAGCTCAGTCCCTGTTCACTATTACATTATGCTGTGGCTTGTATGAATGCCCCCAAAAGGGTACAACAACACACAGTTTCTCTAAGTTGCTAGGAAAATCTTATTGGATATTTGCTTTGTTCTTCCTAAAAAAGGGATGGTGGGCTGAGCAGTGGTGGCATACATCTTTGATCCTAGCACCTGGGAGGCAGAGGCTAGCCTGGTCTACAGAGCAAGTTCCAGGCCGGCCAGGACCACACAGAGAAACTCTTGTCTCAGAAAAGGGGGGTGGGGGTGGGGATGGGAGGAGAGACTTCTATCCCAAACCGGAACCAAAACATCCCTCAGCCGTGCTACTCTCCACACTCACCTTGCTGGGACAGTAAAGGTGTGCTTGGCAGTGCAGGATCATACACAGGAGGTCCCGGGGGCGGGATTGCTGGCACAGCAAAACTCTTCAGTGGGTGGGAAGGGCGGACATGGGCTGTGGGAAGGCTCTGGCCTGAGTCTTCCTCCTGGGAGCTAGCCAAGTAAGAGGAACTAGTAGCACCTTCAGGATCTTGATGATCAGTGCAGCACGTCTGAGACGAAGAAGCTGGCATGGTATCCGTGCTGGGGGTATTTCGAACAGATTCTATAACAGGAAAGCCTAAATGTTAGCATTTCCTTACTATTAAAACATGCAGTTTTGCCTACTTCTAGGGGTTCCCTAAGCCTGTTCAATAAGCACTTGAGGAGATTAATGCTGGTCCAAAGACACATGGATCAGGGTCACTGCCAAGGCTAAGAATGGAGGGACTAATCTAAGAATCCCAAAACAACCTTGTTTCAACCAGTTGTTTTCAACTTTTTTTTTTTCCCCACTTACTTTAGGTAGTTGTTAAGTTTATAAATTTAAAGTACTTGTTATGGAGTTCTTATGAAGGTTCCTAAGACTAGCAAACTTCACTCACTGATTGGTAGTCTCAGAAACTGGCCTTTCAGAGACAACCATGTCTAGTAATGACGGCTGGATAATACGCACCAGGAACTGGCCCTGTCAGCGAGGCTTGGCGGTACCTGCAGGCGAGGCCAGTGCTCATGTACTATGCCGCCATCATCAATGTGAATGGCCTCATGACAATAAAGTCTCACAATTGCCTAGGGGTCTGCACACAGCTGGAGACTGTCACATGAATGCTGTTTTTACCCAGAGGCATAAAACACGAGGTGTGAGAACAAGAACACAAAGTACAAAGAGGAAGAAGTATCCTGAAGACAGCACAGTAGGGCAGGAAAAGTAGCAGCCCTGGGGTCAGCCGGTCCTCTACCTACTTTAAGAAAACTACATGTGCTACATGAGTGAATCTGGCAAAGTCACCGAATCTCCGAGTATTACTTTCTTCATCTATAACACATGGAGACAAACACAAAATCCATTAAATAAGATGTATATAAAGAGCATTTGAACACAGTGCCTGTAAACAGAGGTTCTTTTTGTAGACCACTGAGTATTATTCTATTTATTTCTCCGAGTAATCTGGGAGGCTAAGCAGGTCACCCATAGACAGGCCCAAGTTTAAATCCCTGCTCGGATTCTCAGGCTCAGGTTCTGAAGCCCTACATATTTCCTGCCTTTTTCCACCTGGTGCCACTTGTCTCCCATTGCCAAGCAGAAGCAGCAGTACCAGGGACTGGGTGATTTTCACACAGTGTGAACAGGATGGACCACCATCTCACCCAGGAAGGAGGCAGGGAGCCCAGCTTGAGCAACGGGCTACAGCAGGCAGCCTGAAGGGTTCTAACTTTTGTGAGTTCTCAGCTTTAAGAGCGACATGTAAGCCGCTTGCAGAATTTCACCTGCTTCCCTGCCTTAGTGAAAAAGCCATCAGTCTGTCCCCTGGGGCTGTCAGGAGACAGGACAGACCATGTGTTTAAAGGCCTCGGGTCCCACGGACAAGGTGCGTGCACACCTGCTGCCCCACCCCACCCCGACTGGGCCACGGCAACCTCGCCAGGTTCACACACTTCTTGCCCTCTCGAGTCCAGGCTGGGTGCCACTTCTCAGCTTGCTCACGTCTGCTACAACTGTGGCTGGGAGCTGCTGGTCACTGTCTGTGACCCAGGCCCAGCCAGAAGCTGGCTAGGAAGGGAAATGAGGGGCTGTGAGAGAAGGGGTGTAAGCCCTGACCGTGTCACCAGGCAATAGCTAATATGGCAGGCCGGCTCTGTGTTCAAGGGGATTGTCTTTTACAGAGGATAGGAGGAGAGGGAGAAAGGAATACTCAGTTGCTGCATGTGTCAAAGCCCTAGCCACTGCCACAGACTAAGGTTGCTCTGTGTACTCTGGAGGGTAGCAGAACACTGTGTTCTCCAAGGAGATGCTCCTCAACACTCTACACTAGGCTCTAACTAGACCACTAGGCTCGCACTAAACTTTCTGCTTTGGTACTGGGTCTAGTGCCTTACTTTTCAGAGTTGTTTAAAATACACAATGTTCACAATGGTCGGACAGAAAGTGCTTTTCCCATGGCAAGCTGTGGTAAATGCTCTCAGAGTAGAGACTACTTGGGCAGGCGCCAGTTCTGCACACCTGAGGTTATGAAAACAGCAGGCTAAGCTCAAACAACATAAGGGCTTGGGGAAATACAGAGCAGGAGAATTTGGATAACGTCTAGCTACTGGCTCTATTTTTCAAATAGATCTCTAATGAGTATGTCACTATTTCTCTGGGCATCAAGGCAAGGATGGCATTAGTAATGTTCCCTCTCCCTTTCCTCCCTTTCTGTCCCAGCAGATAAAGAAGAGAATTCTACCAATACCAGGCCGCTTAGATGAGAGCTCAGCGGGAACTCTGCTAGTCTCTTCTCAACTCCCTATGCTGTTCCCAGTCCAGGACAAAGGAGGAGAGGGGTAGACTAGAGAACCTGCCATATACTCACAGTTCCTTAGGTGAGGATTGTGTGGGCTGGATCTTGTAGCCTTCAAAATGGTAAGTGTGGTGAGACATAAAACTAATCTTCCTGAGAACAAGACTGGATTAGAAAGTTGCATTCTAACATTCACTGTTCTAAGAGATTGTATCTGTAAGACAAACTTTGGCTCCCATGCAGCTGGCTGGAATTTATCTATTCCTAAATGTAGTTCTGAAACCTAAATTTGGAAGGAGATAGTATGAAGGCCAAATTTAGGTGTGGGTTCAAGTAGGTAACAGCACTAACAGTGTGAAGCACTAAGAGCTATTAAACAAACCTTTAGACATCCCTTGAAGCTTTGACTTTCATTTGGTATTCTGGGCATATTAATGACTGATCAATACTGATGAAAACTTGAGACCAGCCTACTCCACAAAGCAAGTCCAGGACAGCCAAGGCTCACAGAGAAACTCTGTCTTGTAAAACAAACAAACACAAACAACAACAAAATGGAGCTCACTAGAATTTTCCTTTTTTCTCAGAACCTCAACATTTAGTTTTTTTTCCAATAATAACTATTAATAGGCAAATTTCAAATTATGAAAAATCATTGATGGTATATGTAAGACGTTACCTGGATTTATAGCTAAATCTACAAGACTGAAATTAATTTGTAGCCAATGGGCATAAACAGTCTATTCTTTGGCTCTCTTATCTTCATTCTTCTCTCCTTAAGGCTGTCTGGTGAAGCTATGATTTCCAAATGAGGGCGCATTCGTCTGGCAGATCATTTCAGACACACTGAAGACCGTGGCACCACCTTACTGCAGTTTAGAGATGTCTCCCAGTCCCTAAGGTGGCCCTGCTGCTTTTTGGATGCTGTCCTTACTTTGGTCCACAGGGCAGTAATTTCACATAATGACTGGCCTACATACATCCCCAACATTAGAGTGACTGAGGCAACTCCTGGTTTCTAAAAGCCACTCTGAATACACTTCTCTTTCAAACTGTAGAATTAAAAAAAAAAAAAAGGAGGTTGGAAAAGGTGACAAAGTTAAGGTGCGAGGCTTATTGGAAGAAGCTTATGCAATTCAAGTTGTTGCTGCTTTTTACTAAATGACACCTTGCACGAAATTCTTAAACACAGGGAGAAAAGTGCAGTAGATTTTACAGAAAGAAATTTGAATCCATCATAGAAATGTTATGATAAACAAGTAACACTAAAAATTTTGAAATAGGGCAAGTCCTTCCCCATCCACTTGCCAACTCTTGGAATGCTTTCAACATCTGGCCTTGAGACTCATCTCTCACCTGTGGAATTGGCCCTGTCTGAAAGGGACATGGATGTGCCAATGGGCCATGGGCTGCTTGGGTGGTAGAGATGACTGCGGGCTGGAGAAGCGAGGCTGCTGGAGTGGAAATGATGGTGAGGGTTATCGAGAGAATGGATGGGATGGGCACTAATCACAGCTGTGAACGAACACAAGACAGAGAGATGCTTAACACGTGTGCACAGACATGCGGAAGCCAGCCCTTCCACCTCCCGTTCACCCAATCTTTACTCTGGCTTTTTAGTGGCAAGTGGCTGGACAAACAGCCATCAATTTTATACCTGGCTTAACAAACGAACACACTTCTGAGCATATTCTATCGCTATACATAACAAGAAAGTCTGTGGGATATATTCTGTTAACAGTGGTAATTTTTCAGAGAACAGCAGTCAGGATTAAGGGAGTATTTTTCTTTGATTTATCTGCATTTCTGAATTCTATTATAAACATTAATCACAAGAATATTATAATGCCTATTTAAATGTGTCACAAATCCATAATCAAATATTGCGTCTATTATTTTTTCTATCCTGCTAAAAAGACATTAGTATGTCCCTGCCAAGGGACATTAGACTACTTTGAGATATTTTCAATTAATGGGTATTAATAAGCACGTAGCTATTTGTTCAGTTTTGATATCTTGAAAGAAATATAAATAAACATCTTTTAGCCCTCATACTCCAATCTAGTAATAAAAGTATGAATTATAGTAGTACAGCATCATTTATTACTGTGTTCTGCCTGGGAGCTCAGCCACACCCATTAGCATTTTATGCTATGAATAGAAATTTCCCAGCTTCTTTTTCCTGACTAAGGATTCAATTTAAGTAAAGAATACAAAGTTCTAGATAGCTTCCACATGTAACTTCCTATGAAACCTCTTTAATAAGCTTCCTGTTTTAGCCTGAGATATAAACATGAAAAAAACAAGACACCCAGAGTCAGGAAATACAATTTTCTTAGGTACTCCTTAGAGCAGTTGAAGAACATCGTTTATGATCAAGGTAACAACCTGTACACTGCCCTACTAGGCAAACATGCAGGTAGGGCAGATGAGGGACACAGGGGTTAACCCCCACAACTCCGGTTTAAAGCAGCATTTTCATAAAACTTTCATAATGAAACTAAATCGGCTCTTTGGAACCTATCAAAATATCTTCTTTTGTGTAGAATCTCCACAGATCTTTGTGGGGATATCAACATCACTCTGGGAAGAGAACCCCCAGACCATGAAATAGATGCCTTTCTTCTCCAGCTGCTTTCAGGGGTCAAAGCTCTAGCAGCTCCACAGGAATAAATAACTAGGAAAGCTGGCCAAGAAGGGTGATCAGTTAGTCTTAGATCAAGATCTCCCTTGGGGCAAGAGAAGCAGTTTTCAAAGTGAGATGCTTCAAAATTAGTATTTTCTAAAATTTAGGTTGGGGTGAAGGAGTAAAATTGAGCTTGACCTATGAAGTACATATGATGAAGGAAAACAAAAACAAAAAAACAAAAAACAACAACAGGAGAAAACAAAATAGATTTTGTTTTCTTTTAAAAGCTATTTCAAGTGGTTACAAATAAATAAATAAAAAGATGGATAAATAAATAAATAAGTAGTGAATGTTTTAGTGTAGGATGAAGTTACCTAAATCTGAACTTAGGTTCACCTCATCCTGATGCCAGCAAGCCCATCTAGCTCTGCCTAGACCTAAGTGTGTGGATGTCAGGTGCACAGCTCCAACTTCATTCCAGGACCCAGAGCTCAAGGAATTCAAACTTGTAAAAAAAAGGGCTGGTATGTAGGTTTCAAAAAGGATTTCTCAAAGCTCTCAATGTATACAGATACCTGGTTTCAGATTCTTGAATGAAAGACTGTATCAACTACCCAATTGTTTGGGCAAAAATTTCATAATACTCTATATTCATAGACATTTCTTTCTCATCAAAACCAAGACCAACCAACCAATCACCCACCCACCCGACCAAAAAAAGAAAGAGAAAATCATTTCAACTGGAATTGTATCTATTTTCCTTGACATATTTAATAAATTTAGAAAGAGTTCAATTTTCTAAGTCTTAGAAATAAGCCAGTTCTGGCAGGAACATCTTAGAACATTCAGATTATCGTCTTCTTAAAAGGTAATAAATAAAAAAATAAATAAATAAAAAAAAATAGTGTCTTCTTTGAGCATACACTGTGAGGCATGTGTGAGCGAGGGGAGACAATGTGCACGCTTGGAGGTTCCATCAGAAGTGTGGATGAGAGATTTTCCAAACAGGATTCCATGGCACAAATTCCGTGTAGAACATCCGAAGCTATTTAATCTCTCACTTGTTGCAGAGACGCAGCGAAGCGCCCTCTCAACTGCAGACCCACGCTAGCAGCTGGTCTAAAAGGCCTTCCTATCTTCAGACAGAAGCAAGGGAAAGGACACAGCAGTTTGAAAATAATGGCTCTCTCACTGCCTTTCCCCCTGTGGAGACAGGGTCTGACTGACTGCCAATCCTACCTTCCCTTCCTCATCTCCTCCCATGCCCTTCCCCAAGTCCACTGATAGGGGAGGTTCTCCTCTCCTTCCCTTGTCAGGTTTGTTTTTTAAGTGTTTTCTCTCTGTGGCATGCCTTCTGTTCTTTTACTACTTTTACATAGACAGTATTTTGTTTTAGTGACGTCTAACCAACACACCTTTTTCTTTCATGGATCGTGCTCTTGGTATTTGTATTGCTGAGGTTGTTTAAAGGAGAAAAGTATACTTCATGAATAAAGGGCTAACTGAGGTTCTTAGGCCTGCAGTCAAGCATCTCTAGAGCCACACTGCTAGCTGGGAAGTTGGCTTTTGAATTTATTTATAACTTAAAAAAATGTTACTCTCAAAAATATTTAATTTTTATTTTTCTGTATATGGATGTTCTGGTATTTCTGTGCAACATGGATACGGCTGCTGTCTGTGGAGGCCAGAAGCGGTGTCAGGTTCCCCAGAAACTGGAGTTACAGATAGTTGTGAGACAGCATGATGGTGCTAGGAATTGAACCTGTATCTTCTGGAAGAGTAGCCAGTATTCTTAAACACTGAGCCATTTCTCTAGCTCAAGATTAACATTTATTATGAAATACAGTAACGCTTTGGTATTTCTTCTTATAAAGCTGCACAATATTGGCAGTTGGTCCTTTTTCTTGGAATCAAGAGAAGTTAAACAGACTGCTCAGAGATATTTCCCACCGTGACATGAAGACTGCTAGTACTTCGGGAAAGAGAAGCTTTTACTTACGCTGCGGTGGCTGAGAGTCAAAGGGCATCATCATTTTTGGTCTCATTCCCCTCCTTCCAGCCAGTGTAGACATGCTGTCCTCTGACTCATGCCCTAGATAGAAAGCATGGAGGTTAGCAGCAAGGGTATGCCTTAGGCCTCTGAGCAGCCTCAACAGGAGCAAATTCTACTGGAGGGTTTAGACTTCACAAACAATGCACCAGGGCAAGGCATTTACATGTACAGCATCATGGGAATTCCTGCTGAGATTCAATGAGGAAGACATGATGGTTCACACTGTACTTCAATGAAGTGTGTGTAGAAGGTTTTCAACTCCATGTGATAGCTGAGTTCAATGCAAAGGACATAGTCCAATGTATATGCATGAATTAGGGGGCTCAAATGCTTGACTGAAGCCTGATGAGACACTTAAAAAGATCTAGAAGGCTACTCCTAAATGATACACAATCTCTCCCTTTCTATGTTCATCAAATACTGGAAAAAAAAAATCCCAAGATACACATTTCTTTAAAACTAATCTCTTAACCAAATTATCAAATTCAGGCAACCTTACAAAGGGGAAATGGTACCTCTGTATGAATTCCGCCTTTGATGGATATTGCTATCCATGGAATTGTCAACTGGTGTAATATCTTGAGAGTTTCGAGGGATTGGAGTATCAGTCATGACAGGGTTTGGATCTGGAGACTTGTCAATAGGCTTCAACTCTAGTCTTTCATGATGGATCCATAGGTCTGGAGGCTTCACATCTTTGCAATTGCCCTTGTACTTATGGGAGCCATTCACTGATTTGCAGGCAGCTCGTTTCCTAGGCACAAAGTTAAGGGCAGTTTTTAAAATACACTTCTTTTGAATATATTTGTTAAAACATTGTGATTAAAACTGATTGTCTTCTGCTGGGCATGATACTGGTCTCTAATCCCAATTCCTTGAGGCAGGGGCAGGGTGATAACACAGTCAAGACCTGCCTAGGCTACAAGGGTTCAAGGGTAGCTTATGCCGCTTAGCAAGGTCTACTCACAAAATAAAAGTTGAAAAGGACCTGGAGATTAGCTGAGTAGCACAGTATTTGTCTAGCATGTGTGAGGTCCTAAATGCAATCCCCCATCAAAACAAAACTACTTCAACCCAAAATAAAACAATATAAATGCTGCCCTTCTGAGAGATGCTTTAAACAAAGGCAGAAATGGAAACAAACAAACAAACAGCAACTACAACAACAAAATCAGAGATAAGAGGTTTATTTCTGGAAATAGTAAATGTTTTTGCTTTGTTCATACATTATCTGGATACTGTGCCAGAACAGACTTAAATATTGTCTTTTTTAAGTTAGGAGAATGAGACTGCCTTTAAAAAAACAAAAGCTCTAAAGCAGATGGTTCCTGTACAAGCTTCTGCCGGACAGAGAAAGGACAAGAAGTAAAAATGCAACAATAAGAAGAGGTAAAATCTGACAGGGGAAGGAGGCCTTTTCTAGGGAACCCACTAGGACTCTCAAACATGTGGAGTCAGGAATGTGGTGACACTCTGCACTGTGCTGTAGTTTCTTCCCTTACTCACTCACTCATTTCCCCATTCAATAACCATGTATTAGCCACCTTGTTCCTGTCAGATCCTGTGCTATACTGCTGTGCCCTCAGCACTTTTGGTCAAGTGAGGAAAGTGACACTGAACTATTTTTAAATGCTCGGAGCTTACCAAAACACCAACTGTTAATCTTAATAGTTGGAGCTCAGGTAGACAGCAAAAGTGTACAGCAGTGACTTTTATGTTGAGACATAATGGGGACGGCATGCGTATTCCAGGTGGTGGAATCAGCTTATGTCAAAGCCCTGAAGTGGAACAGCAGCAGCCGTGTATACTAGAAGGATTCTGCAAATCCTGAATGATGAGAACATGAGCCATGAAGAGAACGATGGGAAACAGTGCTCGGAAGGTAGTCAAGAACCAGATTATAAAGGGCTTTTTAGCAGTACTAAGAATTTGAATTTCCCTCTATAAGAAATGAGAAATAATTTAATGGTTTTAAGCAAGAGAGTAAGGAGGACAATCTGAGTTAAGACTTTATCCCTACCATCTTGTGAAGAATGGATTTGAGAGTTAGAGAACTGGAGGAGGCCATCAATGCTGGCCTGTGACAGTGGAATGAAGGAGGCAGATTTGCAAGGCATTATTTATTTAGGAGGCAGAAATACTAGGACTTAGTGAGGGAATGAACACAGACTGGGTGGGGATGAAGAAAAAAAAAAAAAAAAGAAGTAAATGGCCAAGGCTTCTGACTCAGGCTGCTTACTTACACTGGGAAGAGTAGACTAAAATAAATTTTATGGGAAGTACTATGAATTGGCTTGGACATGTAAATTAATTACTTTTCTCACTGCTATAACAAACTATCTGTGTGAAGCAATTTTAAGAAGGAAGGGTTTATTCTAGCTAACAGTTTGAGAGAATACGTTCCACTGTGACCAAGAAGTGCAGATTGCCCAAGAATTGGGACTGGGCTATAAAACCTCAAGGCCAGCTCCCAGGGAACACTTCCTTCAACAAGGATTCCTATCCCAAAGGTTTCATAACCTTCTTAGAAGAAAGAGGCCCAGCTGGAAATAGAAACAGTTTCTGGGAAGCATACAGTAAATGAAACCACAGAAGTGCACCAGATCACATCAAAGAGACTGGAGAAGAGAGGAAGTTCTGACTCAGGTACTGCAGACTGTGTGTAACCTAATGAAATCAACTGTGGAAAAAAAAAAGTACATTAGAAAGGACTAAAGCCTGAACATGAACACGCAGTGAGGAAAAAAAGACTCCAAACTAGTATAAATAGGTACAGTGGACCCTCATATTTTCAGATTCAACCAACTTCAGATTGAAAATATGTTGTTCTTAAATTTCACTGAATGTGTTAACTTTTCCTTGTCTTTATTCTTGAAGCAGTGCAGTGTAAAATCATTTGTATAGCAAGCACTCGGTAGTCACGTTATTAATGTGGAGATGCTTTCGTAGCCAAGATGGCTGTGCTGCCTCTAGCTGACGGGAGCTGACAGGCTCCTACTACATACATGATACCGTTTTAAGCTGAGCATCCCTGACCTGAAAACTACTGGGCACGCACCTACAATCCCAGCAGTTCGGAGGCTGAGGAAAAGTGGTACAGCTTTGAGGAAAGCTTGCTGCAAAACCTTGCCGCAAAATACCAAACAATTATTCGGAAAATTTTAGATAGATGGTGATATGATGAAGTAACTCTCATCTGCTACAATTTGGATGTGGTTTTCCCTCCAAAATTATGTGCTGGAAACCTGGTCCTCATTAGTGGTAATAAGATGTAATGGAATATTTAAGAGATAGAGCCTAGTGAGAGAGAATTAAGTCAATGGCATCACCTTGGAGATTAAACAGTTCTCACAGAACAGGTTGTGTAATGAGGCCTGGAATTCACTTCCTTCATCTTCTTTTACATATGACTCTTCTCCTTTCTGTTTCTCAGCTCTCCTGTGGCAAGGGACCTTTACCAGCACATCAGAATCATGCTGTTTGGATCCTTCAGCCAACAAATACTAAAACAAATAAACCTCTTTACAAAGTGCTCACCCTTGGGGTATTTTTATGTACAAACACAAAACACAATAATATATCATCTGAGAGCTTCTATCTTCTTGAAGCAGAATCCTGGGTCATCTGTCAAGCATCAGGGAGCTAAAGAGAATGTGTTGAGAAACAATGATGGCCTAAACTCTAAATTCTCTATTGATGCTGACATTGTAAATTGCTCTAACAGCCACAACCTGAACAGAAGGTACTTCAAGTATTAGAGAGTAAGAAAAGGAACAAGAAGGACTCATTTATATTTTTTAGTGGCTAATAGAATACCCAGCAGCAGCTTAGGGGGAGAGGGTGGGAACAGCTTTTTGACCATTTGATGTAACTGTTTTAAACAAGGGGACCCAAATCTGTTGGACTTGCAGATTCAAATACAGAATACAGAACCTATTTTCCTAGTTTCAATCTGAAGAGACTTTCATTTTTACTTATTTTGAGTTTTAACTCCTTCTAAAATACTATGGGAGTCTGTTTCTTTTTTCTTTTTGGTATGTTTTCATTTTGCTTTTTAGATACTATTAAAGATATCAAGAATACTAAAATTAGCTGTAAGAGAAAGTTCTTAAAGATACATAAAAGCACCAAACACAGAAATCTGTAGAAATGTTCTAAAAAAGCTGTCTTTCAGGCTCTGAAGAAAAAGTTTTCCATAATAAAAACCAAACGAGAGGCCTATTAAAAGGAAGCTCCCTTCTCTTAGAAAAAGGATACAATGTAAACAGTAGAAAGCTATTTGAAAGAGATTTAATATATCACATGACTTATCTGACAAAAAGTCACTCAAATAGAGCAGTTACAAGGTAGCTTATTGCCAATCCTATGTACTGAAAACAAATACATTGGATGGACACAGTGGCACACACCTTTAATCCCAGCACCAGAGCAGAGACAAACTCTGTGTAGTTTGAAGCCGACCCGGTGTATGTAGCAGGTCCTAGGCCAATCAAGACTACATAGTAAAAGCCTACGTATGCACACACACACACAGATACGCCATGATATTTGTATTAGGCTAATAGTTCCCTCTCACCTTCCATGGCACACAGGCTGTGAAACAGCCTGTGGTAAAGGTGTGCTCTGAGACTCTAGGTGTTTTGCTTGCTATGTGCATATACAGATGTGCTTTCTGACTTTTATGGTAAATAAAAGGGCATGAGCAGAATTTTTTCTTCATCTCATTAAATGTTTTTTAATCTCCTCAATGTTTTATTTCTCATTTTTTTCATGCATGCATATGTGTTTGTGTGTGTGTGGTTGTGTAGACATGTGTGCAAGTGTGTATGGAGTCCAAAGATTGACATATGGTGTCTGCCTCTATTACTCTACACCATATTTTTTTTGAGTCTGATTAATTTATTTATACTTTACATCCCAGTCGTAGATGGGATGTAAAGTATAAATCCCAGCCCCACTCTCCCTCCTGTATCCCCTCTCGCTTAGTCCTCAGAATAGGGAAGCTTCCCTGGACCCCCTGCCTCCCCAGTTCATCTAGTCGACTGCATGAGGGCTGAGTTCATCTTCTTCCCATGGTAAGGTAGCCCCATCCTGGGAAAGTGATCAAAAAGCAGGCAACAGAGTCCTTGGCAGAGATAGCCCCTGCTCCCCTTCCTAGTGAACCCACATGAAGGCCGAGTTGCCCACTGGCTACTATGTAGAGGACCTAGGTCCAGTCCTTGCATGGCCCCTCGTTGGTACTTCAGACTCCTTAGGTTCTTCTGGGCCATGTTAAGTTGGGCTGTTGTAATACTTTTGTAAACACAAAAGTATGATTCTCATAACCCTGAAGCCTAGAATTTGAGTGATCCTTTCATTGAAAAGACAGTGTTAAAAAAGCCATGTCCTAACCTTTGATAAAGGGGGAAAAAAGCTACCACAGTTCAGCATATAAGCACATACTTGTATATTGGTGTTATATTTTTAGATTTCAGGGCTAGTCGATATATAAATATATGTGTAAGCATTTACACACACATCCTTGCCATTGTGCAATTTGGAAGGACTAATAGATGACGATAAGCTCTCAATCTGACTGTATCCTAAAATATAGACTCAATTCTTTTCAATACTGCTTAGTTGTTTCAATGTCTTTCAACTTGAAGTGTTTTATTTTTTTTACTGTCTTAGAAAGTCATAGTATGATTTAAACATTTCTCAGTAGAGAGTAATATAATTAAATAACCACTAAAACAACAGTAAAAACAATTTTTCAGGACTTCACATGAAAACTACTTTGGTATACTTATGTCTATAAGACATACTTTAGTCTCAGTAACATTGTATTTACTTGATTTTATGTGAGGGAAAGTAAACAGGTATAGTGCTAAACTATGGAGAAAATAAACTCAAAACAAAATATAATTAATTTTGAATGTATATAAACATCAGATTAATTTTAGTCTCTAATTTTCATGAAAAAGTATAAGCTAATAATAAATAATTTATTCAGACCAGATCTTTGCTAAAATGTTAAAACATTTGAGGGTAGTGCATTTGAGGGGTAGAACGACTTCTGCTGCTGTCACAAACACTACGACCAAAGGCAATTTGGGGAGGGAAGGGTTTGTTTGGCTTACAGGTTAGAGTCTACCATTACATGCAACAAGTACAGGAATCCAAGAGGAACAGAAGCAGAGGCCGTGGAGGTCTTGCTCCCCAGCCTGCTTTCTTACACAACCCAGGACGCCTGGCCAGGGGTAGGGCTACCTACAATGGCTGAGCATCCCCCAATAAATCATTAAGAAAGTTCCATCGTCTACACACCAATCTGATGTAAACATTTCCTCAGTCAGGATTCCCTTACATTAAAGCAAGAGACAATTCCAACAGTATTTTAAAAAGCTCAGTGAAATCTGGGACTCATAATCTGAGCACGGAACTGATTGAGCAGGCTCATTTCCCCAGCCCTGACATCTGCAGCTCCCACAGTTTGTCTCATTTGGTCCCACAGCACACCTGGTGCTGTGTTCGTGCACAGTCCTAGCATATTCAGTATGCTGTGCTCCCTGCTGCAGCCACAGCACTCTCCCCGCCCCGACTTTCTTTCTTTTCTTCTTTCTCTTTCTTTCTTTCTTTCTTTCTCTCTCTCTCTCTCTCTCTCTCTTTCTTCCTTCCTTCCTTCCTTCCTTCCTTCCTTCCTTCCTTCCTTCCTTCCTTCCCTCCCCTCCCCTCCCTCCCTCCCTCCCTTCCTTTCTTTCTTTCTAGGATAGGAGCTCTACAAGGACCAAATATATCTGGGCACAGGGTCTT